TTCATTTTATTTTAACAACCTAAAATAATTATTTTTAAAATTTGGATTTTGTATTACTACATGCATACCATGCGCATCAAAGTGCATTGTTTTTGTTTTGTTACTTTCAGGCCCTCACTAGGCATATGATGGTTTTAATAATTATTGATTTAGACGACTTTTAATTATTTTTTTAATTTATGTTAAAAAAAAACTTAAATTATCTCGAATAAAAAACTAAGACTGATGCGTTTGGGTTCAATTCTAGTAATGGAGACTAATTAAATTATTTTATTTTATAAATTAGTTAAAATCATATTTTTTTTTTTTAATTATTTATTTTATCTTAACCTAAAATAATTATTTTTTAAAATTTGTAGATTTTTTTAGTGGGTCGTAGAAAAAATATACTGTACAACTCGAGTAGATTGTCTATATTGCACTCAAAATATTAAGTACTCTGGCGTAATAAACTGTGTGAAATATTCATAATAAATGTATTTTATCCAACGCAAACATTTTAGTCAAATATTAAAGAACTTAAATATCCTGCAGAGTCCAAACCATTAAAGATAAAAGTTTGCGGCAATAGTGACTTATGATCAGGATGAACTTCTCACGGAACGCCATTTGTCACAAGATAAGTGCGTGGTTCTTTATTATAGGGATTTAGACGATCTTTTATATATCTAAGTTAAAGAACTAGATGGAATAGATTTGCATTAAGAGCAAACTGGACCACTCGCGAAAGCAAAAATATTTTAAGGATTTTCTAACTGATTTAGTGTCAAAGGTGCGAAAACGCACCATTTTTCCAATATTTTTTTTTATTGGCAATACTTTAACTTTTTTAAATTTTTGTATTTTTTTAGCAAAAGATATAAGTTTATCTAAATTTAATTTTGTTTAATTTACAAACTCATTTTTTCTTTACAAAAATATTTTCTAAATATCCTACATTTTCAATGGTAATGGTAAAACACTTCTGTGCTCAAATTAATTAAAACTTGATTTTTTAACCTATTTGTACGACAATTGTTATAAAAATACAAAATAAAATTTTTTTAGTCGTCAATTCTCGTGTTTGAAAATAATGGTTCGATAACGATCCTTTGGCAAAATTCGACTTCGGTGCCTGTCTGGTTAGGAATTTCAAGGTGATGCACACATGGCTCTCGTTTGATGGGATATTTCTATATTATGGGTTAGAAAGACGGGTATTTAGTTTTGTTATGATACAGAGCTGTGAGATCACATGACACCCCTCCTAACCTTCAACAGACTTCCAGGTCAACTTTAACTTGAACGACGTAAATAAGGAGATAGATAAATACTTTCTTAGCGGTCTCGTATGGTATACGGATGGGTCTAAACCTAACAAGGGAACAGGCTCTAGCGTACATGGAGTTAAACCCAATTGGGACATCATCGTCACACTGGGAAAACATACCACTGTATTTTAGGCTGAAATACATGCAATCGAATTGTGTGTACGAAAGAATTTAAAAATAAAGTACAACAAACAAAGCATCCTTATTCTCTCAGATAGTCGAGCAGTCTTAAAGGCTCTTGATTCAAACAGAATCAAGTCAAAGCTTGTCTGGAACTGCCTTGGAATACTACTGGCAACCCACAACAAGGTGAAACTAGCGTGTGTACCAGGGCACAAAGGTATCCAAGGAAATGAAAAGCCGGATGAACTAGCCAAAGAGGGAGCAGATCTACCATTCACAGGACCCGAACCTATATTTGGAGTAAGCAAAAACTATGCTCGACAGACAGTGAACAGGTGGATAACCACAAAACACCAAATTCACTGGCAACAGTAAGCGTATGCTAAGGGTACCAAACCCACGCATGGCTACTAAGACACTACAACTCGAATGGCCACAGATATCCACCATTGTGGGATTACTAACGGGCTGCTTTCTAAAACACCTCCATGCTATATGATTACACAATGATCCCACTACACTACGTGTAGACTCTAAATGGAAGAGGAAGAATCATCATACCATGTTATCTTCGAATGCGAAGCTCTTACTAGGCGACGTTTTATCCTTTTCGACCTAGAACCGGAAATAACGCCCCAGAAACACTTGGTAGGGAACTTATTAAAACTAACCAAAGACACAGGGAAAGCAGGGGAATACAATAGGCCCAAGAGGACGCAGTGTTCTGGGCCAAACTTAAACTTACCTGCTTATAACCGACAAAAATAAAAAAAGAAAAAAAGTAGTGTAGAAAATATATCGATTTGGCAAAATAATAAAGTATGTAGTGCGGCAACTCCAAAATGATCTACGACAACTGATCCAACATTTACATCTACACTACAATTACATGAAAATGAAAAAGGGATACAAATTGAAAACTGTGTCGTCGGAAAAACCTCTTACGAATGTTTCCAGCTCTTCTTTGATGATGAAGTTTACAACCTTATGATTAATTTTACCATAAAATATGCTCACAATAACTGTCACGATTTTCATTTGACAAATGCATCACTAAAATGGTTTTTGGGAATACTCATTCTTACCTTGCCAGGAGGAGAAGGAGGAGGACGAAACCTCCATTCACATCCTAACTGAATGTGTAGCACTCCAGAATCCAAGGGCACTATATCTAGGAGGATATCAAATAGAAGAGGGAGACTTACCTAACTTGAAGCCACTTCAAATCCTACACTTCCTTAAGAAAATAGGATTGAAAGGGTCGCTATAGGCATTGAGACATTTCCTTAGTACAGTGGCGACAGAAGGGGGCACAATAGATCTTTTAGGTCGCAGTGTATTAACACCCCATTATCAACATAACATACCTTGCCACAAATAGATATGTACTGGAGCAAGGACCAGGATAAGAACCTGACATTCATTAGGAACTGCATGAGTAGAAATACATTTCGGCGTATCAAAAAGTATAGTCACGTAAGTGATAATACGGTGTTAGATAAAAATGATAAATTTGCAAAACTTCGCCCTTTTTTCGACATAATGAATTGAAAATTCCTGCAATTTGGTATTTTCGCATATAATTCATCTATAGATGACACTCTGCTAAAATATTTATGAAAGGAAAACCTGTGCATTTTGGGTATAAGTTATGGTGCCTCTGTTCTTCTGATGAATATCTATTCCGGTTTATCCCCTACGATGGTGCTAGCACAACAATATCAGATTTAGGCTTGAGTGCTGATATAGTATTAAAATTACTAAGTGTTGTAGAAACTCCCTCTAACCAAAGGGTATTTTTTATAACTTTTTTTCATATTATAAGCTGTTCACAGTATTAAATAAAAAGGGGAATTTATGCAACTGGCACAGTGCGAAAAAACAGAATTGAAAAGTGTCTACTGGACATAACTTAAATTATTTCTAAGAAAGATAGAGGTTCGTTCGACTTCGTCTTAGAAAAAGATGCTAAAGTGTCTGTAGTTAGATGGAATGACAACTAAGTCGTAACAGTAATCTCCAATAACTGTCCTTTTCCATCCCATAGGCTTTGCAAAGAGGTACGACCGCAAGCAGCGCAAAGAAGTAAATATACCAATGCCGAATGTTTTTCAAGAATACAATAAATGTATGGGCGGCGTTGACTTACATGACAACGGCATAGCGAATTACAGGATTGCTGTACGAGGAAAGAAATGCTGATGGCCACTTTTTAAAAATGTAATTGATAGTTCTATTCTAAATGCCTGGAAACTTTACGTATATCGTTGTTGGCCTAATGATATTGGAAGATGAACAACTAGAAAGAGAACAGAATGAGAGTCAAGCAGATGAAGAGTCAACTGTACCGTTGATAGTAAAAAAGATAAGAAGAGAAGAAGGTGTAGGCAGTGTTCTAATCATAGCGTTTTTATTTGTCTAAAATGCCAGGTCCATTTACACTCTAAATGTTTTGAGACTTTTCACAAAAAATTAAATCTTGTATTCCAATTTTTATATCTCAGTTGCGCCAAAGGTTCGAAAACGAACCATTTGTTTGTTGTGATACCTGTCAATACCAAAGTGTAAAACAACTTTTTTACGAATGTTTTATTTTATTTTAGAATAGTTAATATTTATAATATTACATATTACTGTAATATTTCTTTGCTTAATGAGCTAATATAAAATTGTATTTATATGTGCGCCGATAAGGCAGCACTCTACAGAGACGTTTTAAAAAGAAAGGTCGGATATTTATTAAACCAAAAAGCAGCAAATTTTTTTATATTTAATACAGTATGGCGCGTAAATGTTTTTATTGAAATTTCTTTTAAAAATGTTTAAAATAAACACGTTTCAATGGTTTGTAAAAAAATTAATGTTTTCTTAATCCAAATTTTAGTATTGGTATTTTCTAAAAATTTTATAAAAATCGGACTACAAATAAAGGCTTAGAAGGAATTATTATACATTTTCTAGGTGTTCGGGTTGCTCTGAAGATTATCCGCAATATTATCGTTTTTCACATACCTTCTTCCAATAAAAACCTAGTATTTATATATTTTTTTTAACTTTTAGTTATATTCCCTAATAAAAAAATATATAAATATATAATATATAATATATAATATATAATATATAATATATAATATATAATATATAATATATAATATATAATATATAATATATAATATATAATATATAATATATAATATATAATATATAATATATAATATATAATATATAATATATAATATATAATATATAATATATAATATATAATATATAATATATAATATATAATATATAATATATAATATATAATATATAATATATAATATATAATATATAATATATAATATATAATATATAATATATAATATATAATATATAATATATAATATATAATATATAATATATAATATATAATATATAATATATAATTACTGAGAGTACTAAAAATTGTCTTTTTAAATATATCTTTGATCCAAAAAACTAATTGAACATGTATAAGGTATCAATGATTAAACATTAACAAATCGATTTGCTCGGTCTTTGCCATTTTATTTGTGTTAATTATTTTACCTCGTTGTGAAATTGCCTTGAATAAAGCTCAGCAACTGATGTATTAATGACAATGTTGCCGATACAGTATTTTCCTTTTATATTTTCTCGTTTAGCTTCTATTTCTGTACATTGATAGAAGTGACCTATTTCTCCGAAAGAGTAAGATACCAGGCCCACAGGTACTTTGGCTGTAGCATCTAGCACTAAAATATAATAATTAAGATCAAAATGTGGTTAATTTTTTATTACATCTATGGTCCACGCAAAAAGTTCAATTGGATATAGAATTAAGAATGAGACAATAAAAGATCTGATTCTAAATGGTACTTAGCTAAAATCTTGGGTTTTAAAATTGAAAATTAAAAAGTTTTAAATGACTATAATTTTACTAAATTCTACAAATTTTTGGTATCATAATCAGATAATTAAACTTTTTTAGTAGCGTATGGAATATGTAAGTAACGCCTGTATTATCTTTTAATTTTAAAAATAAATTAAAATAAAGAGTATACACCTTTAAGTGATAATAATCTCTAAAATAAGTCAGTTAACATATAAGTTTCCACTTAGAATACATAATTTACCTTAAACACCAACAAAAATTATTTATAATCAAAATTAGTGTTTGGAGGGTGGCGTAATATTTAGAAGGAATAAAGTTGTTACTTGCCACTGACAAAGTTTAATTGATATTTTGTGTTTGGTGTATCTTATGATATCAAAAACATATTTAGCTAAATTACTATACTGTATTATATAGTATATTACATTACGAGTGTGGAAAGTGACATTTTTCACACGAGTGGGAAATATTCTCGCACGAGGCACAAGCCGAGTGCGACTATCACACGAGTGTGAAAAATCACTTTTCACACAAGTGATGTACAATATTTTTCCTACGACCACAAAATATTTTCATCAAAAAAATGTAAAACCAGGTTATTATAATAATTAAAATGTATTTAAAAAAATAATCAACAACAATCGTATTTATTCAATTTTCATATTTTTTAAACAAAAAAAAAATTAAAAAACAAAAAAAAATAAAAAAAAACAAAAAAAAAGTTCTGGCCCCGCCAGGATTCGAACGCGGTCGTTCGCCAGGTCTCTCAAATTGCAAATTTGATAGTTTGATGCTCTAACCAACTGAGCTAACAGGCCTTTCGTCAATTGAATGATCTAATCCGTTATATGTTTAACCAGAATAAAAAGCAAACATAATCTTAGTAATTTTAAAATTATGTTAATAATAATTGTTAAAGATAAACATCTAGGATCTAATTTACAACAATTTCAATAATTTAACAATCATATCGATTTTAGTATTAATATGGACATTACATCGATCAAAATAGAAATTATGGGTTTGACATTTTATGACAGCTGCTGCGGAAAGTAACATATTCTCACTCGGTTGGAAAGTAAATTCTTATCCACACGCGTGTGATATAGGGCACTTTCCATAGGACTATATAGTGTGATATGTGTCACTTTCCTAAGTGGTCGTAGGAAAAAATATTTATAGCTGTTAATAGGTTTTCAATTTTCCGCCTGTTCTTTCTAAACGCGTAACATAACATTTTCCCGAAGCCTGTTACATCTGGTTTTGGATCAGAGAATCTTAGTTGTTCTATACCCCATTCTTAATTATACACACTGTATTTCTGGTATGTTTTTTAATTGAGAAAATCCTTTGTTGGAAAATTATCTAATAGTCCGTCATGTTACTGCAAAAGATGGAATGTCGTGTTTTATGTAGTTAAGAACAGGGAGGGTGTGAATAATAATAATATGTCCCAGTAATGGGAGCTGTCGTGTGATCGGTGAAGTTTAAAGTACATGATTATTGATGGATTTTGTGGTTTTTTGCTAACATTAAAATGCAGGCCTTTAGATATCTATAACAATAAAAAAATTTCCCAAGAATTTTTCTGTCGTTTAGTTTTGCTACTTCCGGTGTAGGGATTTCAGCAAGTGACCGTATATTTACCGTTTTTCAACAAAATTCGGTTTTTCTGTAGGACTTAAGATGACATCTCAAGCATAATTTTTTTTGTGTCGGCGAAAGGGTTGATATTAAAAGAAAGTTTAACATTGAAATAGGTGTAAAATCAGATCCAAAAATCGAAGTGCAGTTTAGTTGGCTCTTATAATGTTTTTATGACTCTCAACTAACAGTATTGTCCTTTCATACATATTTTTGTTCAGCTATACACCTTGGGTTTTCCAGAAAAAATGTCAAATTTATAGGGAATGAGGTAGAATTACTAAATAAAAAATGATTGCAATGACAATACTCTTGATTAAGAGTTATACAAATATTTTGATATCAAACTACTTTTTGAATTTTGGTTCCCGTTTTACACATATTTTAAAAATACCCGGTTGTAAATTTTTGTTGTATATCAACTCTTTCTTCCACACAAAAAAATGCTTACAATATGATCTTAGATTCTGCAAAAACGTATTAAGACTATATCACGAATTTGGCTAAAAACGTAAAAGCGCAAAATCCTTACACTGGCAGTAGCAAAACAGGACAACGAAAAATGCTTACATAGGGATTTTTTGAATATTATTGAAGTCTAGAAGTATATATTTTATTGCCAGCAAAAACCAAAAATATCCATAGATAATTTTATCTTAAATTTGGCAAGTCACATGACAGCTCCCATCCAATTACATACAGTATGCAAAAAACACGACATGTTGCTTTTTAAAGTCCGATATAGGACTACACCAGAAATATTTCGGACGGACACCCAGTATATTGAAAAAATAAAATGCTTAAAAAATAATAATTCTAGAAAGACACTCTTTGAAAGAGAAAAGATATACCAAGGTACAATAGGAATATGCACACATGACAGCAGAACTAAGAGTAACGAAACTGAAACTTTATTATTCAGTAATAATTTATTAAAATAACGCGTTATTAAACTAAGGTTTTCTGGTTGCTGTTTAAAAGAAAAAAATTCTAACCACTTAGGAAAGTGGCACATATCGCACTATTAAGTGCCCTATATCACATGCATAGGAATAAGAATCTATTTTCCACCTGTATGTGATTATTTACTTTCCGAATCGACTGACAAACATGTCGGACGCACAATTTTTATTTTGATCAATATAATGTAATAGGGGCTAGTCTTTAAGGCCACTTAGCCTGGCGCCGCTCCTTAAAAATACAAGAGATAGTAGATAATAAAATCCTAATTAAAAATATTATATATGTGGGACGTCACTGGCATACACGCCGCCAATGACCCGTAAACGTCTTCAACAACAACATCTCCCGCCTCCCCCTCTATCACCTGTCGCTTGACCTACCTTTGACCTGCCGAAAGCCGATACAGTTGCAATTAGTCAATTAGGCGATAACGACAAACGACGTGTGAATTACTGTGAATATTACGACGATTAACGACGGTTTATATCATTATAATAACGACGTGTATATTACTTGTTCTTTTTTAGTAAATTCAGTTAATTAATTAGTGTTTTAATAACTAACCTACCTGTCCGAGATACACATCCCACATTTATTTGTTTATTTTATAATTTTTTTCTATCGTCTCGACCAGGGATGTTGCCAATATTCGCATCCGCATCCGCTAATGCGGAGTTTCCGCATAGATTTGAACATCCGCATCTGCATCCGCATCCGCAATAATCAATACGGATGTTCATCCGGATGCGAATGTAATACAAATGGCGAGCTGCGACAAGAAAGAAATTGGGTGGAGCCGGCGAATGACGCGTGCCGTTCGCACGACGCGTTTCCTGAGAATGACTGATCCCACGGAAAAGAATATGAAACAACTAGGACCAGGACCATCACGTTTCGTCAGAAAGCCAAGCTTAAAAAACGACCTTGCTACGATGTTAGATTCGACAAGTGAAGATGAGAGTCAAGAAATACCAGAAAATGGTAGCCCTGAAGCTGTACTTAAAAAGGAATTACTTTCTTACCGCACTAAAAAAAGAGTCAATGCTGATGAAAATCCTCTTAAATGGTGGAGTGTTCATCGAGAGAAATTCAAGATATTATCACCGATAGCACGAAAATTTTTATCCACTCCACCAGGCAGTGTTCCTAGCGAAAAATTATTTAGTTGCGCGGGTTTAATTTACGAACCTCTGTGTAACCGCCTTTAATCAGAAAAGGTGGCAATATTACTCTTTATTAAGTACAATGTTCCTATTTTTAACTTCACTTACTAAGTGAAGTTAAACAAAATAGGAGCATTATACATAGAATACATACATAACATTATACTAATTTTCATTAATAAAAATGTTAATAAATACTGTATCATTGTTTTAATTCTTCATTCGTTTTCGTATTCTATTTTTATATAGGATCTTAAACATCCGCGTCCGCATCCGCATCTGCGGATGTGAGCCTTGAAAAATCCGCATCCGCTTTCACATCCGCGGATGTGAAAAAATCAGCATCCGCAACATCCCTGGTCTCGACACATGCTATGAGTGTTATTTATTGGGTGCTATGATTGAACGTTTACGTTATCTGTAACGTACATGTTAGGCCGAATTTTAAAAGTAACGAGGCAAGTTCGGATGTTGAAAAACTGTTAAATTAGAAGATAACAGGCGGAAAATAACAGTAACGTGTTGGAAAAAGTTTTCCATCATACGAACTTGCCTCATTACTGTTAAAACTCGGCCTAACATGTACGTTACGGATAACGTAAACGTTCATAACACATCATAACACCGATTATGTTCCCTCCAAATCCTACCTATAATAACAATGTATCAGTTCATTGACTGGACTAACATTGGCCGCAGTAAGATTGAGGCCCGCGTCACTATGTTTTACGTGAAGTGAAGATTAGTGCGCATTTTTTTCGCGGCCTGCCAACATTTAGAATTTAGAAGTCAGGCGCCTGTTCTATCTTTTTAAAGTTGTTTTATTCTTTTCACGGAATTTTTACGAAGCACCATGGGGAATAAGAGACAAAACCCCTTAGCTATGATATGTATCAATAAATAGAAATTAAGTTCTGGAGCTAAATAACTTCGACGAAAATAGTCATGGAAATAGTAGTTTGTGCAACAAGAGTGGATATGATGGCCATATCGCACGAAGACAAAATTTGGGCACGACGCCGTAAGCGGAGTGCTCAAGAGTCTGAGTGCGATATGGACAATCCACTCGAGTTGTACAGTACAAAATTAG